TTTTAAAAAAAAAAAAAAAAAAAGTTTATGTAACTACAGAGCAGACTTATTTCTTGTTTGCTAATGGCACCTATCTCTATGTATAAGGATTCTTCATCCAGCTGATTTCAGTTATCCAGGCTGGGAGGGAAGATCAGCCGCCTTCTGCTGCGTCATCCTTGGAGGGACCTGAATCTTGCTAGGAATGCAGATACAGGAGAATATGGCCTGGCTGAGGCGCTTACCACAGATGATGTTCCCTTGATGCTGCTGTAGGAATCTGAGGCTAGGCACGGCAAGGAGCCAACTGAAATAGAGATCTGCTGATGGAGAGAGTCAGGTACCATCAAACTCACTTCAGAAATGAAAGGTCTCTATTGGTACCCAGGGAATCTGGGGGTTTTGAAGGTGGTGTGGGATTTTTCCAGAGATCTTTCACCAAAATGTCCTTTTCTTTTTTTTTTTTTTTGTGCACAAAGAAAAAGCTGGACCTTGATAACGTTCATGGTTTAGCTGTGGGGCTTAAATAATACATGAGTTTTACAGAGTAAAAATCTTCTGGAAAGAATTGAATTAATTGCACCCCTGACTATAGCAGTTTCTAAAAGGCTGCACTTAGAAAAGTATAAATTTGCACAAGGAGTTTAAAGGTCCATTTCTTTCTCCACAGGAGGGCTGGGCTGATGTTTTGGCAAAGCTTCAAATACAGAAGCTCCCTGATGGCTTGCCACTGAGATAAATGGTTTTATTTATTAAAGATGCTTTGGTGTTTCCCCTGAGGTGGCTCCCAGCACACGTTTGTCCAAGCAGTTCAGCTCCTAGTGGTGCTGATCCTAGGTGCTCCCGCCAGGTGAAGGATGCTGAGCAGTCTTCTTTGCGGTACCCACTTGTTCCCTTGCTACCGGCCAGCTTGTACTGGATCACAGGGAGCAGAGCTTACCTCGCAAAGGGTGGTCTCGAGCATCTGTGGCACGGTGTGTGCTTTTCTTCTGTGCTAAAAGACTTTGCAAGAGTTTTGCCTTGGTTTTTAGATCACTAAGCTGTTCCCACCAGCGGTTCTGGAGTGCTTATTAAGAATGAGGATTCAGAAAGGTAACTGAATGACTATTTCTTAAGAGGGTTTAGGTGGTTTTTAAGGTACTAGATGCTCTTTTACTTTGTGTCTTTCAAAACACTTAAACCAGCTTATGAGTAACTTAAAATCCTTACAACAGAGTTGGTCACCTAGGCTTATCTCCACAACAAACGATTGCTCTCCTGACCTGACCGGACAAAAGGAAACCATTTAAAGGGCAACCTCATGTGTGAAAAAGAGTTTGCTAAAACCTCCTGGGTAACAACACTAGCCAAGCAGGTGATTTATAACTCCCCCCCCCCCCCCCCTTTTTTTTTTTTTTTTTTTTTATGCAGTGGGAAGCCTGCCATGCCATCGTGCTGTGGTCCCAGACACAGCTATTTTTTCTGCAACAGGAAGCAATTGGTTTTCCTCCCATTTCAGAGGGCATAGAGCACGCAGTTTCTTCCTCTCTGGTGCAGCGCTGGGAAGAGATTGTCCTGTGCAGCTGCCTTCTATCACCGCAACTGCAAAAGGGTCTGGGAGAAATGATCTGCACTGACTCTTAATTTTGCGTGAGATTTCCCTGTGGGAGATATTTGTGTCTGACAAAACAGGACAGACCTAGATTTGCTTTCCAGGGATGGTGTAGCTCACAGGAATGTGCTGTGTTTTAGGCTAAGGTTTCTCTTTTTTTCCTCTTCTACTTTCTTTATGGCAAATTATAAATGGTTGATAGACACCTAAAATAAAATGCAGATATGCATTTGCAAATCATCCTTTTTTCCATTAAAGAAAGCTGTTACTTGCTGTGTAGAGAGTACATATCCTCCTAAGAGATCAAATTATTTATGGCAGTGCATTAATTAGCTTTTTCAAGGCTTCTAAGGTCTTGGAGCTACTTCCAGCTCCATGGATAATTGCAGTAGGTAAATATCTCTCTGCATCAAGTATAATTTCATGTAACTGGAAAACAACTGTCAATATGTGCTTCGGACTTCTGGCCTGTTGGGGGCTCTTGTCAAGTGGAAAACTAGCACCTACAAGGCTTTTGCAAGGAAGTGATCAGAACTTGCTAGCTGGGTAACTATGGTGGCCACAGATATCCAGACAATTCAAGAGGCTTCCAGAGCTGGTTTGGTTGCCAGATTTACTTGTATATATCTGTGCTGTCACCTTAATTCTGAGGCTGTACTAGTACTCTCGCTCACCCATCACGACTCTCATTTTGGTCTCGGTAAACAGCAGGTCTAACTCTGCTCTCATGTTCATCAGCAGCTCTGGTGCTTTTTCTAGTGGCTGTTCTGCTTTTTACCGAGATCCACGCTTTGTGCATTCCACCTCTTGAATTTCTGTGTGTCTGTTCACAAGCATTTGGCATTGTTCAAATATGCTGCTATGGTTACCCAGGCACCACTGACTGCACAGGTCAGCTTGGAAGAGCTTTAAACAAAGTATTTGGGACTGAATGCAGCTCTCACTTCTTAATTTAAGACCTGGCACATCAGTTTGAACAAGTTACATAGAGGATAATGTCTATCTTTTTTCCCTACGCTTGGGATTTGGAAAAAACATAAAAAAAATATTGCCTTGACGTGAGTCCAAGCAATGACAGCGGCTCCTCTGAAAATAGAAACAAGCCTATTTGTTCTGGGAATTGCCTGAAGGCCAGCAGGGCTTTGTGTGCACAAGTGGAAGTAGGATATACAAAACAGAGCAACCTACTGAAGAGTACAGGCTTCCTCAGCTGCATCAGTGCAAATCAAGCATAGCTCTGTTGATGTGAGTGGGGCTGACTGCAGATCTCCACCACAGCACAACACCTGTGCAAACATTCAAGGGCCAAATTTTATAACCCTTGGGAAGTGGAAGGGGCTGATATATGATTCTTAGACCTCAGGTTGCCATCTGATGGTTTGGGAGTAAGATGTTAGCAGCTCACTTTCTGGAGGCTGGGGCTGGGATTTTTGGAGTGATGAAGATACAGCATGCTGCAAGGATGACCTGTTGAGGGCC